TAGGTAGGTAGGTAGGTAGGTACTTAGGTAGCTAGGCAGGTATGTAAACATATACGTATACGTATATATATATATATAATACTGGTTTTGGAGGGTATTGGATCTACTGCTTCGGATTTCAGGGAAAGGCAGGGCCAACAAGGGTTGTTGGAACTTGGCGAGCTCAGGGTTGTTGCCTTGGGCTTGGCTTGATGTAGGTGCCTGGTAGGAGGACGGGAAGGAGCCATTGCATTTCAGCGGTGAGATTGCCAACGCAGTTAGTGATTAGGATTGTGATTGTCATGGTGTTGATGATCATTGTGAGGATGACGATGATTGCGATCGCTACAGCCAGTTCCACTTCATGTGCCCACTTCTTGCCATTATTCTCGTCAACTCATCGTCATCACCACCGAACTCACCATCAACCTCGTCGTCGGCATCCTCAGCATCATGTCCATCGTGCCTTTAGTCCCGTCCTCATCCTCCACTTTCCTTATCCCCTCAACATCGTCACCACCACCCCACTGCTACCGTCGCTGCCACCGCCACCCCCGCCAGCATCGTCACCATCGCCACCATCGCCACCATCGCCACCATCGCCACCATCGCCACCATCGCCACCATCGCCACCATCGCCACCATCGCCACCATCACCACCACCACCACCAGCACCACCGCCACCGCCATCACCACCATCACAACCATCACAACATTTGCACCATCCTCTCTTCACTAGTGTCGCCATCATCCTAATCATGGTTCTCATCGCGATGGCCTTCACCATCCGCATCACAACCCTGACCATCATAGTGCTGATATTGTCGATGAGGAACATCATGCTTTGGGGGTGAGGCATCTGTTTGCAAATCCTTTCTCAGAGTTTTCGAGGCCACGCCACGCATCGCTGCTTCTCAAATGCCTCGCCCCTCTCCCTGCCCCTAAACCCCTAACCCTAAACCCTAGACCCGAAACCCTAAGCCCTAAACCCGAAACCCTACACCCTAAACCTTAAACCCGAAGCCTTCAATCAAGCCAGGGCGGAGGTTCTCAAGACTTCGAGTCTTAGAGTCCAAAGCC